ATCACTACATAGTATAAAACAAAGTCGCTTTCTCTGTCCCTATGTCCCTTTGTATGCTTAAATCTTTGAAACTACGCAACGGATTTTGATGCGGTTTTTTCAATAGATAGAGTGATTCAAGAGGAAGGTTTATATGTATAATACATGCATATTGCACCCGTGCGAAGCCGGGACGGGGCGCTAGTATTCAATATTTTACTGCACGGTTGGTGCGGTGGCTGGGCAACCGGCTGCCGTGCAACGTGTCGCGGGTTCGATTCCCGCACCGAACAACACTTTGTGTGATCCACAAATTGTTGTTTCGGGTCTGGGTGTCATATTGTGTATGTGAACTTGTATGTTTGTAACCGCACCCACGGCACAGGAGAAAATCCTAGTGTGGGGCAACGTTTAAAAAAAAAAAAAAAAAAAAAAAAAAAAAAAAAAAAAAAAAAAAACTAATACTTCTCATATTGTTTTCAGATTCAACGACCTGCCAAGTTCGGAGCAAATGAAATTTGAAACTACAGTAACTACTATAAAGGACATACGCGCAGTCGCCAAAGACCTATTCACAAGAAAAAAATATTCACAAGCTATCCGAAATTATGAACATGGCATCTCTATATTATCTGTGTGCCAACCACAGACTGAAGAAGAATTAAAAGAGGTCAACGACCTTAAAGTGGCCATCTTTGTTAACCTGGCAACTTGCTATTACAAAACGAATAGACCAAAAAATATTTTAGGCGTTTGCAAACATATTAACAGAATTATCGATATAAATACTCATTGTAAAGCATTGTTTTATTATGGTAGGGCTCATGAATCTCAAGGTAAATTTCAGGAGGCTATTTCTTATTACAAAAAAGCGCTTCAAATAGAACCGAAAAATAAAGAGATAGGGAAGGCTTTAGCCGAGTTAGATGCTAGGCTTAAAAAAGCAGAAGTTGACGAAAAAGCCATGTGGCGTAAGGCTCTCAGTCAGAACGCAGAAATACCTGTGCCCGTAGAGGAAAAAATTAAAAAAGTATGCTACGTTGTCGATGAAGACTTTAGGAAGGGCGTCTTTGACATGTGTCAAGATTTGGCGGGAAGAAAGGACTATGCTAAATTCGATTTGCCGCCGGGTTTGACGAAAGATGAGGTTGTTTGTATTAAAGATTTAACGAGTGAGTTCGAAGGTTTGACTGTTATGGAAGATGGTGAAGGCAAACGGAAAAAGGTTTCGATTGTGAAGCAAAATTTGTAAGTGCGCCATTTTTTGTTTTTTTTTTTTTTGTTTATACAGTATACAATTATGTCAAAGGCAGCCAGTCAACAATGCTGTAAAATTATGTACTGTCGTTTATTTTATTCCTGTATTTTCTTTGGCATATCGATGCTTTCTTAATAAAATGCAACTATTGTAGTCTTTTAATGTCTGCAATTGCAATTTTTCCTTAGAAATGAAGGTCATATCAAGATAATTATTATTTTCATGATTTGCCGCTTTAAAGTCAAAAACTTTTTTTTAAATATATTTTTCGGTATAGTTGACATGTCGTCGCGTAGGTACTCGTTTCGAATACTTTTAACGTAATTCAAACTCGTACTAAGGTCTCAGCTCAATTTGAGAGAGAAATCTCAATTTTTCACTATACGTGTGCTAATATTTTATTTTATGTAGGAGTTAAGGTACCTATTAAGTAGTGTAAGATAAAGAAGTATGTAAGGAGCGTAGTAGGTGGCGCTCTGTAGTTTCTGTATACCATCAGATGTATGAATGTGATGTAAGCTAAAGAAGTATGTAAGGAGCGTAGTAGGTGGCGCTCTGTAGTTTCTGTATACCGTACGACAGGGCTGTCCAAACTATACAGTATGTTAGGTTAAACGAGGGATATTTTCAACCCCATAATATTGTATGCTCACGTGAACCTAACAAATATATAAACGAAACAAAAACACTAATAAATAAGAGACAGAACCATAAAAACGCTTACGGGTTACGGGTTACGGGTTAGCGGGCTTACGCGCGCTCTATCCTTTTCGGCAGTCGCGGAGAACCTAACGGTCGCGGACAACCTAACGGTCGCGAAGAACCTAACGGGTAACCGGGGCTCCGACTCGACGTGCAGGAGAAGGAACGGGGTGGTTTTTAGTCAGTAAGAGTCTGACACTCCCTCCCGCCTCACCCAGGTGGGAGCAGTCATTCGATGATTTTCCCCCTTTAAAAAAAAATCCTTTTCGGCAAGATCGGCGCGTGTTTTGCAACGCGACTTACTTAATGTAAGTACTGTTTCTGTTTACAAGTTCACTTGTTGCGCGCTCACTGTTCATGATGATGTATTTTGTTGGACAATTACCTCAAAAATTTAGGTTACTTATAGGTTTTTTACATATTCAGGACGAGAATCGAATACTGAATACCATCCCTCAATAAGTCCCTCGTTTAACCTAACACACTGTATTTTTTTTTAAGGGGGGAAAATCATCGAATGACTGCTCCCACCCGGGTGAGGCGGGAGGGAGTGTCAGACTCTTACTGACTAAAAACCACCCCGTTCCTTCTCCTGCACGTCGAGCCGGAGCCCCGGTTACCCGTTAGGTTCTCCGCGACAAGGGTATATATAATTAAATTTGTTACAAAAGATGGAGGGTCTGAAAAATGTTTTCAGTTGTATAATGACGTTTAACATTGTATTCTTTACTCACAGACTAAACTTGCATACAAATCATACAATGGGGTAGACGACTAATTTTTATTTTAATGTCCGTCTGGTAGATTATTTAAGAACATTAGACAAGTATTTTTTATTTTCTTACGGAAACGAATAGTTTCGAAGATATATTGATTTGAAATGTCGCGTGACGTCACTTCTCAGTACATTTTATACTAAGAAATGACGTTTTAGCCCCCACTTCTAAACTTTGATTCGTTTTATCTAAGTATTGTTTTATTATACATTTATAAGGTAAAGATGTTGAGATTAAAATGTGTTAAGGAAAAAAAGCCTTCTTTTGGCAGCCCTGCCGTAGAACAAAGTCTTAGTCACAAAGAAGTAAGTTTAAGTGCTAAGAAATAAGCCTAACTAAAGTAGGGTTCTCCAGTATCTTTAAAATATAATCCTTATTAATATTATAAATTGGAAAGTGCGTTTGTTTGTTTGTTTGTTTGTTCCGCTTTCACGCCGTAACTACTAAACCGATTGCTTTGAGTTTTTGCAGACGTAAAGTTAGAAATCTGGATTAAATAATAGGGTACTTTTTATTCCGGAAAAATTTGATATTTCCGAGGGAAAACAAAAGTATTGGTATAGATGGCGCTGTATATTGGTATATATCACATAGGCTACTTTTTATCCTTTTGAGACGCGAACGAAGCCGCGGATAAAAGCTAGTGTCTTATATATAATCTTAGATTATAAAGCTAGTCCCTGCTTCATTCACACACGGCAACACATCAAGCACCATGTAAACCAGTATAAAGTGATCGTTGTATGAATGGGATGATCATATGAATTGAGGTCATGATACACTGGCTTTGTATAGCTTCGTATATCAAGCTACTAAACCAATATAAAGTGATCGTTGTATGAATGGGATGATCATATGAATCGAGGTCATGATATGCTGGTTTTGTAGGTATAGCTTTATACATCAAGCTAACAAACCAGTATATAATCCTTCATGCTGGCCATGTTTCGTGAATACTGGCGTCTATCATGGACTCTAAACTGGCTGGAAAATACACCTTTATTTATAATTCTTCCTCAGAGTGCACTCGTGAGTGTATAAACATAGTTATAGTGAATTGCCGCTGGTGGTCGGGCTTTTATTTCGTCACGTTTAGCATAGCTTTGCAAGCCGACGAATCTCGGTCTGATATTTTTTGTTGCACCAGTGATCACCACTCCGCGGTTCAATGCTAGCTCTTTCCACTGAGATGAATATACGTCACTCGCTGTCTTATGTCGCTTAAGCACATCCTTAAATCTTAGGAGTTGCCCGCCATGCTTTCACTTGCCCTCTTGAGGCTCTGAGGCCTTAGTATTCGAAACGAGTATGCGTTCGGCACTCTGATTGGCCGGCACGAATGAAGCAACCAATCACAACGCCGAACAAGTACTCGTTACGACTACTTTAAACGTATAACAAACTCGGAATATAGGATGCGTTTCGCTTCGCTTATCAAACCAGTATAAGTTGATCGTTGAATGAATAGGATGATCATATAAAGTGAGGTCATGAATAATTGGTTTTTATATGCCAATGTGAAGTCGTGTATGTGCGTACTTAATGTGTTATAGTGTGTTAGAAACTTAGTTTTAAAAATTATGATTATTATACTCATCTTTAACGTCTGCGGCTGACGTGTAGTCCCACAGACACCGCGAAATACAAAATCACGTGTTATACCGTCATTTTTCAAATACGAGCATCACTGCTGCGAGTACCTTACTGTATAGTGCTCGCTATACTTTAATTCTACAAAAATATTTACTGTTGAAATGGTGTCTGGTATAATATACACCTCAGTTGAATTGTAACAATTTAACCACGTCAGTTGCAGAGGGTTAAATAGGAATGATGACGGGGTATGAAAATTAAAAATCTATTTAGTCCGTCAGTTAGATAATGAAAAAATATTAGACACGTATTTTTTTTTATTTTGTCGTTTATGAAAATAATATTTAGACAAAACGAATCAAAGTTTAGGATTGCTAGCTATGTACGTCATTTTTACGAATAAATCGTACATAGAAGTGACGTCACGCGATATTTCAAATCGATGTATCGTCGAAAGTATTTGTTTCTGTAAGAAAATAAAAAATACGTGTCTAATGTCTTAAAATTATCCAGCAGACGGATATTACAATATAAATTAGTCATCTACCCTATTGTTTGTATGAAGGAGAATTGGGTAGTTTCCAGGGTATCAAAATTAAAAATCTAATTAGTTCGTCAGTTGAAAAAATAATTAGACACGTATTTTTTTTATTTTCTCGTATTAAGTTGCAATACTCAGATAAAATGGCGCTAAGTTTAGGAGTTCGTTAGGTCGTTACGTCATAACGTGCAACAAATTGTAGCACGCTGTGACGTCACACGATATTTCAAATGAGTATATCGTCGAAAGTATTTAATTTTGTGAAAAAAGGAAAAATACGTGTCTAAAGTTTTTAAATAATGTACCAGACGGACATTAAAATAAAATTTAGGAAACTACCCTTTAAGGTGTAGGTAACATATAATGTGTGCATCTTTGCCTACCCCTTCGGGCATCAAAACGCGTGATTGTATAAGAGAATTGTTTAAAACATAAGTCTAGTATTTAAGACTGTAGTCATGGAAGCCTAAGATTTAATTATAAACATTTAGGATTTTAGATGTTTAAAACATTCTGGGAATTTGTGATAATTTCGATGCCATTTTTGTACGTACTCTAAGTACAATTTTTAATCTTTTGACCGCCATATCATTAGCCTATAAGTGCCCACTGCTGAGCAAAGCCTCTTCTCACACGGAGAAGGTTTGAACATTAATCACCACGCTTGCTCAATGCAAGTCGGTGATTTCAAATTTATAATTAGAAATTACTTTATATGTATGCGGTTTATGGCCTATAACAGATTTTCATGATCAATTTCCTCTCAGTCGAAAGCCCGCAAAATACTTCACTGAGCCCTATCATGAAATGCTATGTTTGTCAGCTGCAGCGTTGGTAGCGGATTGAGTAGCGGAGCGGCAGTCGTCAAATCACGAAAAAAACATTTTTCTATCTACTTCTCCCGACTTACTTCCGATTAGTAACTAATCTAACTACGTTACTGTTAATACTTTAATCTACATCTAGCATAAGATTCTGCACAAAGATATCATCATTCAGTCACAAAGTGATGGATTATATTTCGACTGATCACATTATATGAAGAAATTATGCGCTCATGTGACGTACAGTCCATCATTTTACAAAGTCGACGGTTTCCTTTCTTCAAAGATTATGCTATAAAGTATGATTATAAAGTAGATGAGTCTCCCCTCAGGAGTCAACGGCAAAAAAAAAAAATCTTTATTAGATGTTTGGACGGCTACCACTACTCAACCTACTGACGCTCTAGCTTTATGACACAACTTCTAGAAGCATCCCACAAGTTATCGACTGAGAGAAAATAGGTGATGGTGACAATATGGATATATTGTGGTGTGATATGGTGTTTCTGTGTCCGGCGTAGAGTAGCGCGCAATTTGAAGTTAGGAATTGTGACAAAAATATGAATAATTTGAATAAAAAAAATCAAAGTAAAATGTTTACCCTAGCTCCTTTCAACGCTCATAACTCAGTCCTGACCGAGATTTCCATATATTGAGCCCATAGACAATTTGTAATGTCATTCTAGATAATATTTTCCATATATCATCGACTGTTTTAGTCAATGCCCCAGTGCCTTTATCTGAGGAATGACTGAACATTTGACAAACTAGTCAAATTCAATACTTTTTTCGAACTGTCAAAAACGAGAGTTTTCTATGAATTTTGTACGAGATTGTGTATTGTGACGTCACGTTTTTTTAGCGTCAACCAGCATACTTATTTCTTTAAAATTTGCTGGAGAATTACAAAATTAAGTTAGTCATGAAGTGTATTAATGAAAGTGTAATTATTTTTTAATATTTCATTGTATTGAACAGTCATAAGAATTTATTTTTGATTAAGGCAAGTACCTACCTACCCAATTGTTCCATACTAAAAGCTGTCAAATGACAATTTTATTCTAGCGACCTCTATTATTCCAAACTCCTTTTTGTCAAGCTGTAAATTCAAGAATCTCGAATGAAAAAATTGTGTCATTCAGTCGCTGCCTACTAAGTTTTGTTGGGTTGTAATTGTAACTTACTAATATTATAATAATCAATTATAACAATCAGTAGTAGCACGGAGTCTGGAATTGTGCCCGGTATATGGCAATAGGCTCACCCCCTATTACATGGGACTATTATAATAAATAGTGAAAAGTGGGTGTACATATACTTCTGTGTGTACCTCTGCCTACCCCTTCGGGGATAAAAGGCGTGATGTTATGTTATGTGTAGTTTGTATGTATGAACGTTTGTCACTAAATCAAGTCAAAATTGAAGGATTGAGGATAAAAGTTGCAAATGAATAGATTATGATCCAGAATAACGCATAGGCTACTCTCATTGGAACATGGGCAAAGACAATGGCAAAAGTTAGTTGTCTATGTACGTGACTATGGCGGTCAAAACCTTATTTTTTAAGTTGTTTTGATACTTTTTTTACAATTTAAAAGGAAAAAGAAAATGTTTTGTATTTTGTAGGTACTCGGAGTACAATTTATGTTTTTTTAACAAAATTGTGATTTTTGTAAAGCAGTTACTAAGTTTTAAATATTGTGATGTAAACTTTTTCAAATAAATACCAAGTACATTCCAATCTATATTTTTGTTTTATTTTAACTCGTCGAGTACCGGTTTTGTAGACACAATTAAAGAACAATTTTTTTTTTAAGGGGGGAAAATCATCGAATGACTGCTCCCGCCTGGGTGAGGCGGGAGGGAGTGTCAGACTCATACTGACTAAAAACCACCCTGTTCCTTCTCCTGCACGTCGAGCCGGAGCCCCGGTTACCCGTTAGGTTCTGTTGCGGTCACTGAAGAACAACTGAATATTTGACAATTATTTCATTCGAAACACAGTCAAAAGTTAATTTTATTCTACACTTCTTATGTGTGGGAGAGCCATGCTTCGGCACGAATGGGCCGGCTCGACCGGAGTGATACCACGGCCGAGCAGAAAACCGACGTGAAGCAACGCTTGCGTTGTATTTCGTCGTGTGAGTGAGGTTACCGGAGGCCCAATTACCCTCCCCTTTCCCCAATCTCCCCAATCCCTGAATCCCCAACGATCCTCAAACTCCTAATCCCCAAAAGGCAGGTAATGCACTTGTAATGCCTCTGGTGTTCCAGGTGTCCATCGGCGACGCTGATTGCTTACCATCAGGTGATCCGTCTGCTCGTTTACCGGCTTATGCCATAATAAAAAACACTTAAGGATTCGGAAACTTAGAACAATGTTATGGTCCAATTAACGGATGATTGAGAAATCGATCCTAAAAGACTTTTAGGGCCAATTTTTCAATGCTTAGATAAATTTTAACTGAAGAATAACTTTAACTACTTTCCAATTATTCCATTCTTCAGTTAAGAATTAACAGATTATTGAAAAATTGGTTCTTAAAGATTTTTTATCATGTTACCTACTTTCTCGCTTATTAAAGGGCAAATTTTTCTATGAACAATTGATTCTTAACTGTACAAAAAAATGAACATTTCAGTGTTTTATAGAAGAAGTGTCGATTCAAAGTTATTTCCTTGATAAATAAGTATTACTGGGTTTAAAAAAAAATCTCAGTTGTAGCACGGAGTCAGGAATTGTGCCCGGTATATGGCAATAGGCTCACCCCCTATTACATAGGACTCATAAGATAAGTGAAAAGTGGGTGTTACATTGTACAGTGGCATAATGTGCACCTCTGTCTACCCCTTCGGGGATAAAAGGCGTGATGTTATGTTCTTTGATAAATCTGATGTTGGAAAATCGGCTCTTAAACTGTCAAACACCGCGAGGACACCGGTGACCGCAACCTATTGTTCTTTAATTGTGTCTATAATGATGGCATTATTAAAAAAAAAAAATTATAATACCCCACATTTTTTCATGTCATGCGGATGAGATATTCTCCGAAGCTCTTCGAAAATTCACAGGTGTGAATGATAAGATAATACATGGTTGTATACACCACAAAAATACAATTAAAATAATTTTTACTGAAATCATTTCCACAGTACAAAAGATATTCCATAATCATTTAGTATGTTGAATAATCTAAATACATAATAAGGTCCTTTACAAAAGGTTTGCTATGGTTTGGAGATCAGTTTAAAAAAAAATACAAGTTTATCCATGATTTATCTAAAAGCGCTTTTTCTTAATGCTGTAGTTTAGGTAGGTATTTATTAGTTGTATTTTTTACTAATTAGGTATTTACCAGAACCAAGGTAGGTAGGTTGTTTTAATTAACATTCTGTTTTTTTTTTGTATATTATACAAAACTGTAATTTGGTTGAATTGTTATACATAGATACCTACTAAATTTTGATTAAAATTATAATGTAAACACCGTCGTCCTAAGAAAATTTCGAGCAGTGTATACAAAGTCACTTAAGAACTGCGTTCTTGAACAATCAAGCAATTTTTTGGGCGTAGAATTCTGCTTATTTCAGTTCAACATTTTAAATAAGTACCTATACCTATTACCTAACTTATTTCAAAATTGTGAACTTTTCAAACTTTTGAAGTAGTTCATTCATTCTACAGTTCGCTGACTCATTCATCTTAGGGATGCAGGCGCAATAAATTTACCTATGCGATTCAAATGTATTCGATTGAAATCGAATCGAATTAAAATTGTAATTGTAGAAATAGATCTAGCTAAATATTAGGTTGACGAGTTTACATTGATAATTATAAATACATAAAATTCGTATTGTAGAAAATCATACAACAGAAATGCTTGTCTGAGTTATTGTGACTGTACTAAATCAACATTTATTGTTGTACCTGCTTGTAAAAGTTTTAAGAAGATTTCACAATTAACTCGCCACTTGCGTTTGCTCTGTAGTCAATACTCGGCATTGCCTACCCAGTAAACAATGCGTGTCAAAAGGCACTTAAAATTTATGGCTAGATAGTCATCATTTTCGTGAGCGCGTTAAGTACCTACCGACAAGTATAATGAACTTGATAATTGATATTTCATTCATGCATGAAACAAGTATATTTTCATCCATGCATGTCATCTATTAAAAAAAACAAATGTACTACTTTAGGTGCACTTTATTATTGAGAAATTATATAAACTTTTACTAAAATATAAAATTGAATATATTGAATTGTTTGTTTAAACGCGCTAATCTCCGGTACTACTGGTTAAAATTGAATATATATTTTTGTGTTAGATAGTTTGTTTAGAGGAATAGCCTTCCTTTATAATAATTACAACACGTTACGGTTAATAGGAGCCGAGCAACAGGTACCACCGCGCGGTCGTAGCCAGTTGACTAATAAAATTTAATTTTACGATGTGTGTACATGAAAACCCTGATCCGATTCTCATTTCGAAATCAGAAATGATGGATACAGATTATATTTTTGACTTTTTACTTATAAGAAGGGATTATGTCTTACAGCCAAAAGGTTAAGTAACGTTGCAACTACTTACAACCAAATTACTCGATGCGTGGTATAAATATATCGACTCCAGCATTTTTATTCGGGACACATTCTATTGAAATACATTATGTAAATCGTAAACATCTTGGAAAAATAGATACAGACAGACAATTGTATCCTAATTGAATCAACTCCTAATTGAAGTAATTTTCGAAAATTTTAGTAAATATCGTTTTAGATTTTGATACCGTGTTTCATTATAATCGGTTCAGCAGTTTCCATGATTTAGGACAGTACTTATATAAAAAACAAAGTCATAAAAAATTATAGTTGATAAGATAATAATCACTATTACATAAAGCGGTAGAATTTGTTTTTTGTTGGTTTGAACGCACTAATCTCCGTAACTACAAGTCTGATTTGAATAATTATTTTTGTGTTGGATATCGCATTTATCTAGGATGGCTACAGGCTATAAAACATCACGCTATGACCAATAGGAGCTGAGCAGAGCGTGTGAAACCGCGCGGAAGTAGCTAGTAAAACGTCATAAATAACTTTTGTGATGCTCTTTGCAAATAGTTATTTCTAGTTTTCATTTTTTTATTAGTACTTTTTAAGTTTTATAGTTTTAAATATATAGATTAGTACTATAAACTATTACACAAAAGTAAATATCAATAATATACTGAAAATAAAAAAATAAAAATTTCAGAGTTAATTAATAAAAAAATAAATAAAAAGAAACATGCAAATGAGCATTATTCGCGTCGCGAAGTTGATTAGAGAATTCACTTTAAGTTTATATGTATTTATTAAAATATTTATCATTTTAAAAATCGATGAAACAACTAATCGTTATCAGACCGGCAACCCTATTCAATGACATTTCATTTCGTTCAGTTTTGAGTGACGTATAAATATCAAAGTGTCAGGTAAACACATTACAGTTTTATTGATTGACGAAGCTCAACGAGAGTTCATATTAGTATATTTATTAATTTCGCGTATAGTTTGATTTCAAACTATAATAATTTACTACTTTTGAGTGTTACAAGAACATATCGTGTAAGTATAACCTCTTAATTATTTGTACTTTTCGAAATTTGCCGGGCGGCTCAATTATGTTCGCATTGGCGGGTAGAAATTTATACGGGCTTAGCATTATTAAAACGTCTAAATAAGCAGTTTTTATGAGGTGGAATCATGACAAACAATCTTTCTTTGTGATAAAGGGCGATGTATTTGATGACCTCGGGCGTGAAACCTGAAATTATTGATTTACTCTGACGCATGCGTTCAGGGTCTATAAGTTTTCGCGCACCGCACAAATCGCGCAGCGTCAATGCAGTACCCTGGGTGCAATCAATACCCAGTTATTACACTGCAGTACATCGTAAAGCTCCTTAAATTGTGATAAATCACCGACTATTCACATCTTATCTTCGCCGCGTCTGTAAGTATGAATTTGAAATCGATATTAGAATAGCACTTGTGGAGTTCGTGAAAGTGGATAATACCTTACAACTTCGGAGCTGCGGGGGAAATGGTGTGAGACGACATTGCGCCCCTATTTATACCCTCGGTTCGACTTGCGCGGTCCACATTGCGACGTTTTCTCTTCAGCCGCGAAATTAAACCTTAATGCCAAATCATATTCCATTTCTGCTTTTCCTAAATCTATATAGGTAGTTACTTTTTCATTCGAAAATTCTTGAATACCTTTAACCAGTCCCTGGTGACCGGCGTTAGCGGAGGATTTACCCTCAACAGTTTTTTATTGGCAGTCAAAGTCTTTAAAGGCAAAAAACCTTTTTAAACATAAATTTAAATTCTTTATTTGTTCTAGCTCAACTTATTTGTATATGTAACCTATTTGGCAAGTATTCGATGACTGTGGTAACCTCTTTTGCTTGCTGATATTATTTGTTAACTTCGGGGATTTTTTAAACATTTACAATCATATTAGATGTTATATTTATTTATATCTTTGTGGGTATATAGAAATACTTTAATATATTACTAAATACATAAATAAATATGTTAACTCGTTGAGTACCGTCATTATAGACACAATTAACTCGTCGAGTACCGGTTTTGTAGACACAATTATATAACAATAGGTTGCGGTCACCGGTGACCGCTTGGTGTTTGACAGTTTAAAGAACAATAGGTTGCGATCACCGGTGACCGCTTGGTGTTTGACAGTTTAAAGCCTGTTTTACTTTGGTATTCACAGTATTATATGCAAGTGAATAAATTCGACGGGAACTTTGACAAAAAAAAATATTTAGAATTTCATGAATAATCTAGAAGGAATCTGTTTAGGGTTACCCACTTATAATTATATCTACCTTTCTATTTTCATGTTAGTAGAAAATAAATTTAAATGGGGGTAAACAATTTAATTTGTAATATTATTATTGGTTTTAACTCGTCGAGTACCGTCATTATAGACACAATTATAGAACAATAGGTTGCGGTCACCGGTGACCGCTTGGTGTTTGACAGTTTAAACTGTCAAACACCAAGTACTTGACGAGTTAATAAAAATAAATAAATAAAAGGTCGGATTTACAAATTCTGCATTGATAAATCTTTAAATTGCATTCAATCAGTAAAGTGCTATTGTACCATGTACAAATAATTAAACTGTCAAATACCAAGCGGTCACCGGTGACCGCAACCTATTGTTCTATAATTGTGTCTGCAAAACCGGTACTCGACGAGTTAAAATCTGATAGTTTGATGTATTCTACAAGCAGAAATAGACACACTTTTGTCTGCTCCATGCCATTTTGGATAGTGTGGGCAGAGGTCCGTCACACATTTTCAACGGATACCTCTGGACTGCCGTATCAAATTGATGGTATGATGATGGTTCAGTTCGATCGCCTATTTATACTTTAACCATGTCGAATATAACACAGAAACGCAATCGGAGGACAATTTTTTTTTTAGTCTTGCTTCTTGAAATAACAGATTGATCCTTTATGCCTTATACAGAGGTAGACAGAGGTTTACAAATTACATGTATACCTACATTATAATACAAAATATTGTTTTAGTACTAACGCATAAGAATATGTTCCAATTTCCAATTTTTTTTTATAAACATTGCCCCACACTATGATTTTCTCCTCTGTCGTGGGTGCGTTTACAAACATACAAGTTCATATACACATCACACCCAGACCCGGAACAACAATCTGTGGATCACACAAAGAATTGTTCCGTGCGGGCACGTTGCGCGGCAGTCATTTGCCCATCCACCGCGCCAACCGTGTGGTATAAACAATAGTACAATTTATAATAAGAGTAGTAACGTAATGATCTCCCATTCCTAAACTTAATTCGTTTTGTGTAAGTATGGTTTTCTTATTTATTCTTGATTGTAGAATAAAATTGTCATTTTTCAGTTTTTCATTTGGAAGTACTTATATTGTCAAACTAGCTACTTCACCGCGGTTCCACATGCTCTGCTCAGCTCTTATTAGTCGTAGCGTGATGTTTTGTAGCCTATAGCCGTCCTCGATAAATGCACTATCCAAAACAAAAAGAATTATTCAAATCAAACTTATAGTTACGGAGATTAGCGCGTTCAAACAAACAAACTGTTCCGCTTTATATAATAGTATAAGAGTATTAGATGAGATTTTCAAAAGTCGGCCCTACGACAAATAAATACGTGTCTAATATTTTTACCGACATCAAAAAAAGGAGAAGGTACTATGTTCGGCTGATTGTTTTTTTTTGTTTGTTCGCTTATTACTCCGCCATTTATAAAACGATTTCTATGTCACCGACCGTGGGTGGGGTGCCGGGTGGGTAACCTATCAGAACCAATATTCAGAGCCGCGGAGAACTTAACGGGTTTTTTTTTTTTAAGGGGGGAAAATCATCGAATGACTGCTCCCGGCTGGGTGAGGCGGAAGGGAGTGTCAGACTCTTACTGACTAAAAACCACCCCGTTCCTTCTCCTGCACGTCGAGCCGGAGCCCCGGTTACCCGTTAGGTCTCCGCGACTCCGAATCGGCATCGGCCCTATTGGGCCCCATCTGTGGTGGTCTGATGGCTCTTTGAGGCGCGCGGGGAACGCGACGCGCCGTACGCTCGGGTCTGGTTCTGGTCGGACGGGGAGCCACCCAAGCTCGCCGTCCGCAGGCCCAACTTAACGGGTTACCGGGGCTCCGGCTCGAAGTGCAGAAGTAGGACTGAACGGGGTGATTTTAGTCAGTAATAGTCTGACACTCCCTTTCGCCGCACCCAGGTGGGAGAAGTCATCGATGATTTTTCCCCTTTAAAAAAACCTATCAGTTCAACAACCTAGTATCACTAATAGTATATATTTTTTGCTTTTTAGTTTTTACTTTTTGTTTGTATAAGTTTTTGGTTTTGTAAGTCGTGTTTTTATAGATTTGATTTTCATATCCTGTTGTATTCTAATAGTGACACGTGGCAGTCGTGGCTGGCCATAGACCAACACAGGCCACCGGCGGACCGGAGTGGCTGGTGCACATAAATAACTTTACTTTGTTTTTCCGAATTTATTGTTTTATTTATTTATTCATTTATTCGTTGGAGTACTGCCCCATCACAAACGTTGGCCATGTGGTCGCAGTGCGACTGCCGGGCAAGGGGTCTCGGGTTCGATCCCCGTGTCGGGCAAAATATTACTGGGTTTTTACAAAATCTCAGTAGTAGCACGTAGCCTGGAAATGTGCCTGGTATATGGTAATACGCTCACTCCACATTACATGGGACTCATAACATAAATAGTGAAAAGTAGGTGTTACATTGTACAGTGGTATTAAGTGCCGTAATGTGCACCTCTGCTTTTCAGGGATTAAACTGTCATACACCGCGAGGACACCGGTGACCGCAACTTATTGTTCTTTAATTGTGTCTATAATGACGGTATTCAACGAGTTAAAGGCGTGATGTTATGATATTTATTTAAGCTTCATGCACAAAGTGTACATAAGAAGGACGTAATGCCGCAGGCATTTTCTCCCACTCTGACCTTTTTTTTTTTTATTTTTTTTAAGGGGGGAAAATCATCGAACGACTGCTCCCGCCTGGGTGAGGCGGGAGGGAGTGACAGACTCTTACTGACTAAAAACCACCCCGTTCCTTCTCCTGCACGTCGAGCCGGAGCCCCGGTTACCCGTTAGGTTCTCCGCGACCCCACTCTGACCTTAGGGTGATGCAGAGAAGAGTTAATGGAGTATTTATGTGATTTAAATGAGACATTTCTTTACAGATCTGCCCTACAATGGAACCCCAACCCCATGATCTCATATCCTGCCCCTATAACAAAGCTCATCAGGTTGAGCATTATAAAATGCACGTTCATCTTCAGAAGTGCCGAAAACAGTATCCAGACAGTGGCATGGTGAGCTGTCCATTTAATGCAACCCACGTCGTGAATGAGGTTGAACTAAACGTAAGTACCTCCTTTAAACAGTTTCTAATAGTTAAGTCGTGGTGGCCCGGAGGTTTAAGACGCCCACTTCTCATGCATGAGGGTGCGGGTTCGAAACCTACCAACGGCAAGTACCAATGTGACTTTTTCCGAGTTATATGTACTTTCTAAGATTATTTAGACACCACTGACAAACGGTGAAGGAAAAACATCGTGAGGAAACCTGAACTTATAATTTCTAATTATAAGTTTGAAATCGCCAACCCGCATTGAGCAAGCGTGGTGATTAATGCTCTAACCTTCTCCGTGTGAGAAGAGGCTTTGCTCAGCAGTGGGCATTTATAGGCTGTTGATGATGAATAGTTAACTAAAAATCGCGGGTCACTCACGTGAATATACTGAGAAAAGCTCTACTAGTTTCGAACCACTTTCGGTTTTCTACCGGATACATTTCGGTGAGTGTGCGGGGGAATTGCACAACTTGATTCCCCCTAGTCCTTTCCATCATCGTACCACAAGACAATCGGCGAAGCGTCACCGATTCATGGTAGATGTCCCACCCACACGCACGAAGCGCTTCGCTTCAAGCTTCCTTGTGCGTTACTGCTAAAGAGTGGAATTCTTTGCCAGAGTCTGTATTTCCTGAAGGGTATACCGTATAACCTGGGAGTCTTCAAGGCCCGAGTGAATAGGTTGCTTATGGGACGACGTGCTACATCGTAGACCGCATCATCGCTTACCACCAGGCGATTGTGGTCAAACGTCGCCTCATCAAATAAAAAAAAAAAACCACAGAGTAGGCTGCGCGACATCGCCGCGACCGCGCACGCTGCTCATGAGGAAGAACCCCTCTGTGGTTCGAAACTAGTAGAGCTTATCTCAGTATATTCACGTGAGTAACCCGCGATTTTAGTTAATTTAGTATGTCTCACGATAGTTATTATAAAAATATGTTTTTAATTATACAGTATCACATCTCGTCGTGCCCAGATCGCGTCATGTTGGACACCCAGGTGTATGTTACTGATGACGACCATCGTCCAGTAGTACCGGTCGTATCTCAGCCAGTTCCGGATAGCAGCGCTGATTGGGAAGACGTAAGTGTTAATATTTTTTATTTAATAACTTAATTATTTGACCAATGTTGTATAAGGGCCCCTTTTACTGCCACGCGTATTTTAGTCCTCATGCGAGTGATAGCACGCTTCGGGCCGCACACAGGACAAAGATTTCGTTTACTGCCGCAGTGTTGTGCGTGGCGCCAGTGGGTAATTCCGTGCACAAACATGAACGTTAAAAAAATGACGGTTTGCACTCCGGGAGTGCCGGCAACGCACCTGTGACTCCTCTGGTGTTGCGGGTGTCCATGGCCGGCGCTGATCGCTTACCATGAGGTGATCCGTCTGCTCGTTTGCCTCCTATTCCATAAAAGAAAGAAGTGAAAAGTTTGCACGAATTGCTTCAATTATCAAAATAAAAGTACTATCTTTTATATGGTAGAATACAATATTTATTTATTGCGCTATCGTACACAATAGTGACAATTTATATAACATTAAAAAGTTGATCCCTCAGAAAAATCAACTTCCATCAGCGCAGCTTCTCATTACCTATATCATTTTCAAACACATAATAAAAACCAATTCAGAGTAGATCCATGTCAAATTTCATTTTTATATGCGGACTATGAACTTGTGTGCAACCTGCTTCATAGTAATGACAACACTGAAGGCAGAAGATCACCGTCCGCATTTGGATAACGCGCACGTGGGCTGCGTGTCTTCAGGCCAATTTGTATTCCGCGCGTGCTAACCGCATGGCAGGAAAAACTTGTATTAAACGATAGAATGTGGGAAATCCGCATGCTGGCGAGACCCGCATGCGGGCTAAGAATACGTTTGACAGGAAAGGGGCCTTTACTAGATCACTGACTATTAACCTGATCATTTAACTCGAAAAATGTTTATTTAGAACCAACAAGGATAACATCCTCTACCGCCACCTGTATTGATAATGTTTTCTGTAATTGTGACGTGAATTTGACTTTGATATCAAATGAAAGGGCTTGATTGGTTGTGTAGAGTTCATTATCGAAAACTCAAACTTAAACACAAACTCAAAAGCATTTATTTCAATTAAACCATAATTTGGTACTTTTGAAACGTCAACAAATATGAAATAAATAATAGTTTGTCAGTCTGTCCGTCAGTGAAGCTAGGCGCTCGTTCCAAAATGTCGATTCGAGTGGAGAAGAACGAGCAAGAAACTCCATTCGTTACTCTTTTAAAAAAAAGTCTGTTTTACATTGCTCTGATACATATTCCAATATTGTACACACATCTGAAAATAATGTAAAGACATACCTGACGCAACATACAAATAACAGAACATACTAAAAAAAATATATGTTTGTGTATATTTTTTCCAGGATCCCCAAACATCGTTCGTACCGGATCCATCACGTAAACCGCATGTGATACAGAAAATTAAGGGCGCTACTCCGTCTGAGCGCAGGAAGGCTCGTTGCCAGAACACCACTCAATACAGGCCTTTAGAGTAAGCTATATACAATTTGTATATTTTTTTTTATATATCTGATGACAGTAGGGTACAAAAAAGTATTCATTAAACATATTGCCCGTAAAATTTCGCTGTATGAGATAGAATTTTTAGTTTCATGTCACAATTCTGCCTCCTTTTTTAATCGACGACGTATATAGACTGCACGGTTGGTGCGGTGGCTGGGCAACCGGCTGCCGTGCAACGTGTCACGGGTTCGATTCCCGCACGGGACAACACTTTGTGTGATCCACAAATTGTTGTTTCGGGTCTGGTTGTGATGTGTATGTGATATTGTATGTTTGTAAACGCACCCACGACACAGGAGAAAATCCTAGTGTGGGGCAAAGTTAAAAAAAAAAAAATTAAAAGAAATATTTTGTAAAAATTTTCTCTACTAAGTACTTTTTCTCTTGTTTTTTATTTTTTTTATAGTGTATGGCGCTTCGATCGCTTTTTTCTACCCTACAGTTATTTTTTTTTTCAATTCAATGTTACCATTTTTTGGTAGGAATATTTTTTAAAGTGGTAGTTTTGTAGTTTTTACGTTTAGTATGTGTCGCTCAAAAATTGACTTAATGGTACTGGTTACAAAGTGTAATTTTGAAAATTTATGTTATAAAGGTAACTTATGGATAAAGAATTAGAATTATGGCCTAATCATTATGTGTATGGCTTCTAGGAATATTTAATTATAAGATCAACATTGCGTGTAGATTTAATCTCCAGGTCGAATACTGATTTTTCTATTAGCCTTTATTTTTGACGGGGAAAATCATCCAATGACTTCTTCCGCCTTGGGTTAGGCGAGAGGGAGTGTCAGACTCTTACTGACTAAAAACCACCCCGTTCCTACTCCTGATCTTCGAAGGCGGACCCCGGCAACCCGTTAGGACTTCCGCGGTTCCGTATCGGACATCAGCCCTACTGGGCCCCATCTGTGGTGGTCTGATGGCTCTTTGAGGCGCGCGCCGAATGAGACGCCTACGCTTGGGTCTGTTCCTGGCCGAGCTACCCTTGGTCACCATCCGCAGACCCGCAGGGTGGCCGGAAATCGTTTCCATGACGGCTGGGGCGTGAGGTTTGTTCCCTTACGCGCCCCGTCTCCTCTTTAGCTAGCATGACTACTTCGCAGGAAGCAACCCAGTCCCCCACCATCGCCTGAACCAGAGCCGGACGCGGGAAATAGCGGTAGTCAATCACATCCCTGAAGACACGGCGTTGCTCAGCCCAGTCAGGGCACACCGCCACCGTACGTTCCACATTTTCCTCCGGGTAGTCCTCGCGGTGTTTTCTATTAGCCTGGAGTTTACAATTCCCATAATATTACTTGAAAATGTCAGTTAGGCTAGTTATAACTATTGTTTTATATGTTGTTTTATATATATATAGTATAAAGTTGATTTTCAACTCTATTTTTTTATACAGTGTGACGGAAGCAAAAAAAAAAATTGACATATTGTAACAATACTCTAAACAGTATTTCTTTGTAATAAAATTTTGTCTATGTCTAATTGGATAACGTGATTATTAAATCTCGAATTCAATTCCTGAGTCGTTACGACTTAACTTATTATCTTCTTGTTTATCACTTAATAATAAATATGTTATTGCCAAAATACTCAGCCAGTTGTTATAATGGTGAATGAAATGCTGAGACTGATGTAACTTTAGGTCTTTTATCCCTAAAGGGCTAAGCAGTTGTGATAACATAAATAAACTACAGGATTCACAATAACTAATAAAGTAATTAATACGTAGTATTGAGGGCCTAGTACGAGTTCGTTTTACATTTAAAATAATCGAAACGTAGACGCGTTCGGCGCTGATTGGCCGGCTCCAATCAACTAACCAATCAGATTGGTTGGTTCAAACGTATGTAATAGTATCGGGCGCATTCGCCGCTAGGATTGGCTGGTTCACTGGAGCTGCCCAATCAGATACACTCGATACAATAACTTTATGAATGCGATAGTTATTCGTTCTTGACACTCAAAGCGTCGAACGAGACCGCGTTTCGATTATTTTAGCGTAAGACAAACTCGAATGAAGCCCTCTGCTTGATCCTTTTACGGAATAAAAAGCGTAACGTTTAAGATGGCTATTTTGGAAAGTGTTTTTTTTTTTAATTGTAAGAAGGTATGTTTTAGTCATAGTTCGTTTTTAACAACAATTTTTTTATGATGGGGATGGTGATCCTAATATATATATGAGTCTGAGTTCTATATATAATATGTCAGTAAATTAACGGGAGGTAGTTTTGTCCTTTAAGATCTTTTTCAGTCTGATTAATTTTCTGTTCGTTTTAACCGACTGATTGATATATTAACATATTTTCCATATTATGTTAAAACAGGTCTGTCCAAACAATGTGGGTGTATCGTCGCGAGCTAAATAATTTTTTTACTAAAGATGGAGGGCTAGAAAAATATTTTCAGTTGTATAATGACGTTTAATATTGTATTCTTTACTCACAAGCTACACTTGCATATAAATCATAAACTTAATTTTATTATTGTTGTTGCACATAAGATGAAGATGTTGAGATGTCGCGGGCCACATGATAATAAGCTGCGGGCCGCATGCTGCCCGCGGGCCTTTGTTTGGACAGCCCTGTGTTAAAGTATTTGTCAGCTAAGCTTGAAAAACTTTGTCAAACTTCTTCTCAGTCAAAATATGAAAATTTTCCACAATAACTACCTCCGTTGTTTACCTAAATTGCATAAAATTTAGATTTTTGTTAACGGCCTACCAGTACTACATGGGAGGCGTATAAAAGCGAAAAACTTGATTATTTTGTTATGTTTTTATAATAACTATCGTAAGACATACTAAATTAAGTAACATCGCGGGTTCCTTACGTGAATATACTGAGAAAAGCTCTACTAGTTTCGAACCACAGAGGGGTTCTTCCGCGATCGCGCACGCGGCTCATGGGTGTAACCCCTCTGTGGTTCGAAACTAGAGAAAAGTAGAGCTTTTCTCAGAATATTCACGTGAGTAATCCGCGATTTTAGTTAATTATTTTGTTTTTTTAAAAATAAAGGGGTTTGTCCCCCTTCACCCCTTTTCATTAGGGGTAAGGGGTGAATATGTGATCATATACCATCCCCCTTAACATTGTCTATAAATGTTAATGCTATGTAAATGTTTTGTAAGTATACAATGTTTTATGCATACCCTGCCCGATTGAAAATAATCGAGTGATATTTTCGAAATAAAATTGTGATTATGATGAAATGTAAAAATTTAAGAGAAGGTGCTAAAGATTTTTTGTAAAATCTATTAGTAAGGAATGGTATTAAAAATTGAGTGGTTTTAACCACTAGCTCTGTTGGGCTTGTGAAACTGAGCTCTGATTTTCATAACATCTATACGAGACCGCGGTCGGCGTCGATTGGTTGGTTAATTGGAGCCGGCCAATCAGCGCCGAACGCGGTGACGTTAAACGTGACACAAACTCGTATTACGATCTCATAGGCTGAATAAACGTACAGAGAGTCCTGACAGGCAACTCCTGAGAGTCCTGACAGGCCCCTAATTTTTTTGGTGTTGTCGTCACTCTGAGCATTTTGGCACGCGTTTCTTGGCGCCAATCTGTACTCGCCCGTCACTTCTCGAGAGAGTGTTTAGTATAATCTCGATTCTGTCTCAAAATGGAAGAGTGAGAATTAATATTGGCTACTCGACTAAAATACTAGCGTAGTGTGAACAAGGCATGAAGCATAATACGAGTCTGCGTCTATAACTAAGTTATACTTAAAAATATGGCTAAGAATGTGATAGTGACCCAACTGAGTTGGAGTAAGAATAAGCGAGAACAGATTAAAATTGTTTAAATATGTGTTATTTAGGAAAACCTAGTCTTCTGACTGCTTTTGTGAAAATTTATAAGCAGTGTACCCCTTCTGGGTATATCTGATGAAACATATTTAAAAAATAATAAAAGGTGGTATAATAGTTTGGGCGGTCTACTATTATTAGTAGTGCGGGTTGGTCTTGTCAATATATAATTAACTTCCAATTGTAACTTGAAAATTGAGCGAAATTAATAATTATTAAAATCAATCAATCTTAAACTGTTTTGTAGTTAGGATTTTTGGATTAATTTTAATTTTAAGAAGTCATTTTAAAATGTTAATATTTCAGATTAATATATAATCTGTGAGCTTATCGTGAAACCGAACCGAAGGTTCTATTAAAAATGTAGAACCTTCATAGATCGGGCAGTGGTTGCATTTTCTAAAAGTATGTCGTAGTAAGAAATATTGTAATCTATTTGTTGACATTATGAATGTATGTGTCTATAAAATTATAAAATAAATGTCTATAGTTGAATAAATAAATGTCTTTAAATTAGAAAATATGTGTTTTATTTGTCACTTACTATCCGTGCAATATGCATGTATTATACAATACATATCAACCTTCCTTAACTCGTCGAGTACCGTCATTATAGACACAATTATAGAACAATAGGTTGCGGTCACCGGTGACCACTTGGTGTTTGACGGTTTAAGAATCGCTATCTATTAAAAAAAGGATCAAAATCTGTTCATAGTCTTACAAGATCTAAGCGTACATAGAAACAGACAGATGGCGGATAGCGACTTTGTTTATACTACGTAGTGATTACCTTTTTGGATACCCTGCAACACCAGAGAGTTACAAGTGCATATCCCCAAAAGGGACTTAGGGATTTGAGGACTAGGTCTCTGGTAGTAATGAAACCGCTAGACAATTTATATAAATATAATTTATTTATCCTGTATATAATCTTCGTCCATCTTTTCAAACTTCTCCTTCATGTCATCGGGTACTTCCACTGCTGATAAGTCCTCAGCACCGACCTCATCCTCTTTTTGTATCAAAATGTCGACTACGTTCTCGCACGCAAGTCTTACTTTGGGATCTGTCTCCCACTTATGATATTCCCGTAGAACATAGTACACTCCGTTGTCCCGTAAGAACTCCCGTCCTTTCCTTCGCATACAAAGCTTGTTTAGAGTTTCCAGAATCATTTTTCGGATGTCAATGTCATTATCCCGTTGTTTTTCTTTCGGTAAGTATTGTAATGATATTGGTAATGAGTCCATTTCTTCATCATTGTATTCTTCTCCCCCCATTATTGGGTTTAACAAATATGTAAGTAGCTCCAAATCGTTGCTGAGTAAAAACTCATGAAATTCAGGATCAAAGGATAAATTTCGTATGGTACCCATCGCTCCGCCTCTTCGTATGTTTGAGAGCTCATAGCTACAGAACGGTAGGAGTTTTATTAATGGAATGTGTGGATTTTCTTCCGTTAGCCATTTCCTGATACTATGACAGCAGGAGAGATTGGAAATCATCGGTCCAATGAAGTTTAGATTAGAACCTTTTTTGTTAAAGTTTATGTTCACGTAAGCGTTTAAAATATCGTTTAAATGAGGTAGAAATGTGTCTAGAACACTGTCTAGTTCCGTTTCGACTCTAGTTATGTTCGATAGTATCATTGCAGCCGCATCTGCGTCCTTTTTGTCCGGATTTAGAACATAACCTATACACAATTTTACGATGTTTTTATTGTCATCCGATTTGTATTTAAGGAGTTCTATAACGCCTCTGGGATTAGCTGTGATGTTTACCAGTATTAGTAGAGCGTTTTTAGCCACTTCTTCTATTTTATCGTCCGTTAAATTGATAATACTTTGTATTACTTTGTCGTGAGATAACAATGTTGTTATTCCATCTTCTGTGCCGGAAAGTCCCACTAAATGATCCAAAGCAATGTGTCTTAAGTCGATACGAGCTTCAGGCGTCAAGAATTGTAATAGTTCGTCCAGAGGATCCGCTGCCATGGTTATTTATTTACAGTAAAGTATGAAATTATAATATTCTAACCTCTCAACATCAACAATGCGTTTATTTTCATTTGACATTGTCATTCGATTTTGACATTTCGTTGGAAACATTCACGTTCTATTATTAACATTTCTAGTTTCGTTCGTAAATTCATAATAATACTTATATTTAAGTTGGATTGATCATACATTTTTTTATCTTATTTTGTTGACTACATATTTGTATTATTGTGTGGACAACAAAATTGGAGTTCAAATTAATTAAAACGACGAACCATTTTTAATTCCCGCGCAAGTCGCGTCATCTTGTATCGAATAGAAGAAGCACAGGCCAACACTTTCAAACTTACCTAAGAGATGGCGCTACACGTCCAGCAACAAACTTCAATGACCTACTTTCCTACATTACAAAAAAAACATTTCTTTAGGTAGGAAACACGCAATTTCCTTATTGATAGACACGTATTACATTTGATTTATTGCTTAACTGATCTATTTGTTACAGTTTTTGTGGTATAAATTCCATAAATTTTGCATATCCGACAGTATGGCTACTTGATTATATTTCGTAGGTAGTCATCGTGATTAATCTACGCAGATTACCACAATAGTTACTCATCCTTATCCTTGATAAAATATAGCATTTTTATCGGCGAAACAAAGGTTTGTAACCAAGCTATGCTATTTTCTAGGTACCGAGGTTTGTAACTGCTCGTGGCAGTGTACTGTTTTTATGGAATAAGCCGGTAAACGATCTGATCACCTGATGGTAAGCAATCATCGTTACAAGTGCGTTACCGACCTTTGAGGATTGTTGTGGATTCGTCAATTGGGGAGATTCGGGAAGGACGACGAAACACAACACAAGTTTTAAGGAACCGTTACCAAAGATCGGAAAAGGAGTATCCTTCGACCAAGTCGCGGAGAACCTAACGGGTAACCGGGGCTCCGGCTCGACGTGCAGGAGAAGGAACGGGGTGGTTTTTAGTCAATATGAGTCTGGCACTCCCTCCCGCCTCACCCAGACGGGAGCAGACATTTGATGATTTTCCACTCTTAAAAAAAAAATCCTTCGACCAAGCGAGGTGATCGTGCCTGGCGGGCTACTGCCCAACAATTGTTCGTTGGGAATTTCAATCCATGTTTATTGGCCCGATTACCCACCCCCCCACTCCAGAAATATCCCCAATCGCCGAATCCCCAACAATTCTCAAACAGTAGGCGATGTATGTGGGACTATTTTTTATAATTAAGTATTACCATACTTCGTGCAAATAAACGTTCTTATTCTTATTCTTATTCCTAATACCCAAAAGGCCGGTAACGCACTTATAACGCCTCTGGTGCTTCAGGTGTCCATCTATGGGCGACGCCGATTGCTTACCATCAGGTGATCCGACTGCTCGTTTACCGGTTCATCCCATAAAAAACTACCGATAGCATTTCTGCCTCAGCGAGTACAAGGCATGACATTAAAAGCTTACAAGGAAAACCATTTGCGTGTTAAACCCTTCTTAATTCACGATAAACTCGGTTTTTTCCATGTTAACTCTAATCTTGATCGATAATACTGTGCTGGTCAGTTCAGCTGATGGTATCGTGGTTAAATTTTAACTTTCTTCGTTAATAATTATAGTAGCCAAATAATAAGCACATGAGAACCGCGTTTGTGTCACGAAATAGGCAGTGTGTTTTGTAAAATTAGGTATAGGTAACCTAGTCGCTTTTGACATTGATTTTTCGTCAATATTATGGTTTTTTATAGGGGAGAAAATCTCCAGAAGTATTAAACTCTTACTGACTAAAAACTCCTTAGCATAATACCTACATTTTGTTAGCAGCGGCGACTAGTGCCGGCGTCGGCACGGTGTCCTGGTGGAATAATTATAAGGCAGCCAAGTTAGTGGTGAAATTTTTCTAAAAACGAATATGAAAGAATACCTTTTTTATTGGATAAGCCGGACTAGCAGACGGATCGCCTGATGGTAAGCAATCGCCATCGCCCATGCACACCTGGAACAC